GAGGGGGTCTGGAGGAGGGGGCCGCGGCAGGGGCCTCCCTAGAAAACAGCCCTGGGCTGCTGTCCACAGATAGCCCTTGGGGCCTCAAGGAATGCAACAGAAGGGATGGGGTGGGACGCGGGGTGGTCTGCGAGTGCTGAATGTGACAGATTGTAGCCTAGAATGTTCTTTACAGCCTCCAGAGCTTTGGCTGTGCTGGAAGCCAGTTTTTCCCTCTTTACCTTCTCTATAGCATATTAATGGCCCCAACTGGTAGAACTATTTGGAGTTGCAGACAGCTTGATTTATCCTAGCTCTGTTCTTAAATGGTTGCTAATTTCTCACTGCAAGAAAATTCACAGTTTTTCAGTGAGTCAGCTTAATAACAAGATCAGGGTAGACAGTCTAGCTATTACTGAACTCACTTTAGGTGCTTCCTATGAATACAGTAATACTGTGAATCCTGGAGTCTCCTCGTGAAGTAGAACAAAACATTTTCTTCCTTCAGACCCTAAGTGAGGCCACCAGCACATTACAGATGTTCTGGAAACATCAAGGCCCGCGCCTCTGCGCCCTGCGTCCTTCCCTGCTGCAGTTACTCGGTGAACGCCCGAGGCCGGGCGCTCCAGGGACCCCTCTGATTCCCCGAATCCCACACTTTGATGGCTTGCATGAGGTGCATACATTAAGCACAGGTGCTTTGGTAAGCGGACCCCCTCTGCTGGATGAGCTGTTCTTCCGTTTGTATAAACAAAATGGAAACATCTCCGTACCTGCTCGTGCCTGTGGTATCGGGGAGGTTAGGGTTAGGGTTAGGAGGTAGAGGCTGTGGCCCGAGCAGTAGAGAGCACAGGACTGTCTGCTCGGTCCTGGGAACCACGTGGCGCCCCCTGCCCCAGCCCAGGTCGCCTGGGCTATGTGTCCCCACCCCCCTCCGGTCACTGACGCACCCTGTTCGTGGGGGACTGAGCCTCCTGTGCAAACTTGGTTGAGCGCCTGCAGCCGGCTACAGATTGCTGAGTATTTCTGCGGTTTCCCTCCAGATGCTGCTCCCGGACAGTGTCTCGCCTACGCTTGTGTGCACGGAGTGCCTCTTTCTTCTCGGCTCGGTGCACTTCCTGGATAGGGCAGACATGTCCGCAGAGATGGCTGGTCACCGGGCTTACTTACTGGCATGGCAGGGGCTCGAGGAAGAAAGCGCGGAGCCTGGTCAGAGGCCCCTCTGAGCGGCCAGCTGGTATTTCAGAGCCTGGAGGCGTGACACACTGATGACTAGACAGCTTGTCATCCTGGGCTGCAGAAGCCACAACTGCGTGAAGGTCTGGCCAGACTTCGCGTTCCGCAGTCTTTCCACCCCGTGTTCTACGGAATGCACATGATGGCATTTAATGTGTCCAGTCCCTTCCTTAAAGGGAAAAACACTGGATCAGTACTCCAGAGGGACTCCTAGTTCAAATCTTAGTAACTTTCTTTGCAAACTCAGTAGCTGTGCAGATCATTCGGGTTTTTGCAGTATTAGCTAATTTCAAGCGCAGTTGGAAGCATTTGAAGCTGCGAAGGAGAGGTCTCAGTGAGACATTTTCACAATCAGACAGTTCAAGAGGAATGAGTCCGTGTGTACGCTATGGACTCCATAAAATGCTCAGCTTTCGTAGGCACGTCAGTTGGTCTTGCTTACAAAGTAAGTGCTGTGCCTGTTATCACCGTGGCTCTGCGCGTAAGAAGCATAGACTCAGAACCGTAGGAATTCGTCCCAGTGCCGCTGCTTCTGTGGGCAGGGAGACAGTAGGGGCTGTCACGGAGCATGGCCCCCGGTGGGAGGGCAGTGCGGAGATGTGCCACGAGTATACCATTCACCAGCTAGCAGAGAACAGATCTCGGTCATTATTCTTCATGTTGACTTCATGGGGAAACGATAATATTTTTACTTGGTTGGATTAAACAGGATGCATTGTTAAGATTAATGATGCTTGTCATTTTTTACGGGGCACCTGACTGGCTCCGTTGGAGGAACATGCGACTCTTGATCTTGGGGTCGTAAGTTTGAGCCCCATGTGAGGATGTAGAGATTACTTAAATAAATAAAAGTCTAGGAAATGCTTATCGTTTTTACTGTTGAAAATATGAGCGTTAGAAAATTTAAAGTCACAGGTGTGGCTCTCCTTACGCGGGACCTTTGCCATGGCTGCTCGTGGCTCCAGGAGCAGGCCCGGGGCTCCCGCCCTCTTCCCGTGGCTGAATGGCTTGCTGATCCCTGCTGATGGCCCTTTTGCCTTTTTAAGGAACGTGTGCGGTCCTGTCCGTCCTGGTTCTGTGACGTCTGCACCATCGCACAGTGACACCTGTTATCCACAGGCTCATCACGTCTGGGCCATACTGTGAGCTGGCTGCTAGCTTGGGGTCTTGGGCACGTCCTGTCAGCCTGATGTGTGAAACATTGAGTTTGAGGGTTCACAGAGCCCCGCGGCCCTCCCCCTCATTCGGGAAGCAGGAAACAGAGCTGCATGGATGCCTGCCTCCACTCCCAGGGTCACGTCCCCGTGCCAGCATATGGGCACGCGATGGAAGGAAGCTGGGCACACAGCGCCCCCATGCCACCAACAGTGCTTGCCTGATGGGCACAGATTGGATCCGGGCTCGGGACAATGTTTACTTTCTTCTCTGGTCCTATGTCCTGACTTTCTACTTGCAGTGTGAGTCCTGGAGCAGGACAATGGACCATCCACACAGGACACAGCTCAGAGCCTCCTGGGCCCGAGGGACACTTGATGTAGTTGACAAGGACCTAGAGGTTGCAGACAGCGCATGCGGCCTGATTGCCCCACACAGGGCGGGGGGGCCGCTTGTGGCTGTGACATCAGGTGCGAGCAGGTGGCAGAGGCTGGTCTCCCCGGGGCTGTGGTGTGCCCGTGCCTGGCAGAGCAGCCTCGTGAGTGCACAGAAAAGTGCAGGCCTGCTGGGAGGGGTCGTTGAGCAGAGAAGTGCTCAAGGACCTGCATCCCACCGTGCTGAGCTGCGACTGTTTATTGTGCCGTTTGGGCCTCAGCCATATGAGGTCATAGGAACGCGATGGAAAAGACCTCCTGTATTAGGTCATCCAGCCCGTCCCTCGGAGCCGACTGACCCCACAGTATACTTTCCAGAGCTCCGTCCAGTTTTTCCAGTGACTCAGCGGCTCCCAGAGGAGGGCGCAAAAGGCTGGTGTCTGAGCCTGCCACCTTGGGCCAGGATTTGTTCCTCGGCGCCTGGACGGAGGAACTCCTGGGGATGATGCCGTTGTTTGCAGAGAGATGTGGGCTACGTCCTGCCTCTGTCATGAGCACGTGTGACTGCAGATGGTCTCAGGTCCCTCTACAGCATGGGTCCGGCACGGGGCTCCTGCCGCTGAGCCTTCCAGGACTTGGCGGGGGCACCTCACATCGCACTTTATAGTTTTCACAGCTTGTTCACATTTGTGAGCTCATTCAAGCCTCCCCGTTCCTGAGGACGGAGTTGATCTTATTATCCTCTGGCCACCTCCCTGCCTCCATTCTGGTCCTCGTGTGTCAGACGAAGCGGCTCGCCCACATGTTGGTGCGCAGTGCAAGGCTGCTTCGTGTGAGCTGAGCGCACGAGCACCTTGGCCACGCCCTCCTCCCCTTCCCCTGGGGTGCCACGTGCTCTCCTTGACCTGGGGCCGCTCCCAGGCTGCAGTGTCCCCTGGCCGTGCCCATGACGGTGATCTCCATGTGTGGCGTGGTGCACTGCCAGCTCAGTTAGATCTGGGGCCCTCGCTGCTGACATCCATCCCACGGGACAGAGGACTTGGCACACGGCTGTACACGGTCGATCCACAGCGAGTTGGTAAACGGGCACCCAGGACTCTGATGATTCACAGTCTGCAGTTCCTTTGTCTTGACCTAACCAGGGATCTAAAACTTTCCCTAAAAGAGGCATTAACATTTATTGCAAGTAGTTGGTCATTAAGATTTCTCTTAAAATCATTCCTTTTTGTTGTCAGCCTGAGGATATTAAATTTTTAAAGGCAGGCTCACCACGCATGTGGTTAAAGTACATTTCACAATGCAAGTAGTCTCCATAGGATTGCAATAAAGTAGCTGTTCTCAGCAGTGCATGAGACGTATGAAGCATGACGTGAGTCCCAGAGAGGGGGTGAGGGGCCTGGCCTCTAGGAGCCCCAAGTGCGCCCACAGGGTTGTGCTTTGGTAGCTGCTTCGTCGCCTCGGGCTATGGAGGTATCTGTGAAATGTTTCCAACAGATAGGCAAGACGGGTTTGGCTTTTCTTCTACTTCCGTCTGCAGCTAGTACGTGGGTGCAGACAAGTTATGAAGGCAGGGGTTGAGTCCTGGGTGGGCCCTGGACCAGCCGACCCCCCACCCCCCGCTACTGCTGTGTGGCTGGAATAGCAGTGCCCCAGGGGCATTGTCAGGAGGTGTGGGGGCTGTGGCCTGGAGCAGGGCCAGAGGGCTGACGCCTCATCTGCCTCAGCTCTGCCGCCCTGGGGGTCAGTGCTCCCTGGAGGTCAGAGCTCCCTGGGGCATCAGCGCTCCCTGGGGGTCAGAGCTCCCTGGGGGGTCGGAGCTCCCTGGGAGTCAGTGTTCCCTGGGGGTCAGAGCTCCCTGGGGGGTCAGAGCTCCCTGGGAGTCAGTGCTCCCTGGGGGTCATTGCTTCCTGGGGTTTAGTGCTCCCTGGGCTTCAGAGCTCCCTGGGGGGGGGTCAGTTTTCCCTGGGGCATCAGTGCTCCCTGGGGGTCAATGCTCCCTGGGGTTCGGTGCCCCCTGGGTTCAGGGCTCCTTGGGGGGGGGGGTCAGAGCTCCCTGGGGGTCATTGCTCCCTGGTGGTCAGTGCTGGTGAGCCGCAGAGCTGAGACCCAAACCCAGGATGCAAGGACAGAGTGTTTGTCATCCCCACTGACTCACAGAATTTCCTAAGTACTATAAAAGTGATAGAAAGAAATAGCATCTATTTTTGAGAGTTTAAGAAAGGGCAACCCATCCTGCCCTGTGTGCTGCTCTTGCAGATCCTGAGGAAGCTGAAGAGTCTCGCCCTGGACACTGAGAAGGAGCTGGAGAGGCAGGACGAGGCCCTGGACGGCATCACTGCGGCCGTCGATCGGACCACCTTAACCATCGACAAGCATAACCGACGTGCCAAAAAACTGACCTAGGACAGAAGAGCAGAGAGGTGACTGGTTTTGATGACAGTCACTCCCCTGAGTACTTTGTTCTCAATACCTGCACACGTCCTTGACCTAAACACCTGGAAAGTCATTCCAAGGGCGGGTTAGTAGTTGGAGGCCCTGGGCCAGGAGGTGCAGGCTTGCCTCAGGGTAAAGGATCCCGACCACTGCACACGCGGGAAGGAGGAGCTCCAGGAGAGGGGAGTTCTGCCTGCAGATCCGGCGAGCCCCCCCCAGCACGCCCCTGCAGTTGTGGCCCCAGCTCCCCTTGCTCCCCGCTCCCCACTCCCCGCAGGCCCTGGCTCCCTTCTCCCCCTCCTTCCCCTCAGTCCTCAGCTCCCCACTCATACCTGAGCCCTTCAGAGGGTCCCCAGCAGCAGGAAGGCTCGTCCCTGCAAGGCTGGCTGTACCCAGTGCTCGATGCCTGCTTTGCATGGTTAGCATGGCCAGTAGCTGAATTTTTATTCTCTGTTCTTGCCAGGTGTAAAAGGGCCATTTAAATCCCTATGACAGAAATGTGCTGATTTCTGAGTCTGTGCACCTGAACCCTGCATCATGTGTCAGCAGAACCCCTTCTCCAGGACCATAGACAGGCCCGAGCCTGTTCCCCTCTGCAGGCTGCTCTGCATGGGCCCATCCACAGTCACTTTGTTCTGTGACTTGTTTTGTTCTCTTGACGGGCCTGTTTCTTTTTGGTTGTACTGTGACTCCAGTTCCTCTCAAGGTCATCCTGTGAACACTGGGAATATTCTTTTCACTGCCCAGTTCATAGCCAAGTGTAAAAATAATACACACTGCACCTGTTTAAAAAGTGTTGATTTTTTTTCTTTAACTGCCCCATTTCTATCCAGAAACAAGAGAGAAATCATAGTTTTAGAATATATTTTGAAGATAGGCGGTCATGCTGCTTTTTGCTTGGTTTTGGGTGCATTAGTGGGAGGGCCCCTCAGGGAAGGATGGACGGGGGCAGAGTGGAGAACTGAGTGACCCCTTCCCCTGTCACAGCAGAACAGGCCCCCTCTAGACTGCTTTGGTAGAGCGTCCCGGAGGGCAGTGCACAGAGAGGTGCCATTGGGCCTTGTCGAAGTGTCCCTTTGAGGCACCTTTCCTCTGGATCTCCTCCGGCAGGCCCTGTGCTGGCATTCTGAGTCCCGCGTGGTTTGAAGAGTGAATGCACAGGTGCAGTGCTAGTTTTCCGGGGCTGCCAACGAATGACCACAAATGGGGGTCTTAGGACAGCAGGCTTTGTCCTCTCCCGGGTCTGGAGGCCAGGAGTCTGTGGTCAGGGTCGCAGGGCCGTGCCCCCTCTGAAGGCTCCGGGAGGGTCCCTCCAGCCTCTCCCATCTGGGGGGGCGGGGAGTTCTGGGCTCGTGGCCGCGTCTCCCCGGTCTCTGCCGCCCGCCGCACGGCCCCCCCCCCCCCCCGGTGTCTGCCGCCCGCCGCACGGCCGCCTCCCCAGTCTCTGCCGCCCGCCGCACGGCCGTCTCAAATCCCCCCCTCCCTTCTCTCATCAGGTCAGCCTTTGCATTGTGTGACGGTTTCCACTAAGGTTGCATTCCGAGCTTTGCTGGGGTCCCCTAGGAGTGCTCAGCCTTCTGGAAGCTGACCTGTTCAAGAAGACACAGGAAGGAGCAGGTCCAGAGAAAAACCTTCCCAGGGGCCTTCTAATTCTTCACCCTTTGAATGTGCTGAATTCTGTTCCTAGTCTCCAGCTGCTTTATTTGTTATGTACTTCCCAACCTTCCAGATGAGAGGTGCACCTGTGCTGTCAGGGTTTCCGAATGCAGTGCTGGTGTGTGAGTGGCTGCTCCTGGCCTTTCCTGGTACAGTGAGGATGCAGCACAGCCATTGCAGAGGGCGCAGCCCCAGGCAGCTCCTTCCACTCAGGCCCAGCGCGGGGGAGGGCAGGGAGAGCACAGCCGATATGTGGATGCGGCAGCAAGGACAGTCACTGAGAGTTTACACAGTGCCCAGAGGCGGTGGCTGGACCGTACCCTCTGGTGCGGCGGGGGGATGATGCCGGAGGAGAGGCAGCCCATGCCCCAGGCCCAGGTCGAGTACAGGGGACAGGCCGTGTGCCCGGAAGCTGCAGCTTCTCCCAACAGCCCTCGAGTAATGACGACGTTCCAGAGGTGGAGCATGTGGTTCTGAGCCACAGCCGCACTCTGGGCTAGCCCCAGGGACTCTGAAAACGCCCACACACCCACCGACCCCAGGTTCCTCGGTCAGAATCTGTATGGGTATACATGCTTCTCAAGTGTTTCTAAGGAGCAGGCCAGGTGACTTACTGCCAGCAGGCCTGCTTTCTCCCATATCCGTCTGTGGAGAGCCCTGAGCAGCCAAAGGGAAAACAGACCTGCCCCCCGCCGCCCTTGATGCTGTTCTGAATCCCAGGAGGGCGCTGCTAAGGAAGTCCAGCCAGCTTCCACTTGTCCTGAAGACATGCACTGCCCAGCACCTGCATGGCATGGAGGCTGCACACACTTAGGCCGGTGACAGGACTCTGCCCGGAACAAGTCTCCTTTTCCAGCACCTGGGGATGCTTAAAACCCCAGGCACTGGGCATGAAGGTATGTGGGACCAAAGGCATTGTAGCATTTTTAGAGGACTATTCTATAGGTCATTCTCTCCCACACATGCTTAAATGATAGAGACTACAGTCTTTCTCTGCAGAATTATAGTGTTAAAAAGAAAGGTCCAGCAGGATCTTTTCATGGTACTTACTAACCTTGACCCTAGACTTAGCTTGTTCACCTTAGACCCTTCCCACAGCAAAAAATCCATTGCCAAACTGATCTGCCTTTAGCCTAAGCACAGAAACCCACCTGTTGAACTGACTGTTAGTCTCCAAGGCAGAGGCAAAAGTGCAAAAACCTTATGAAACCAGGCGATAACTCCAAAACCCCCTACTCCCAATGCCAGCTGTGCACCACCACACCACCTCTGACTGTCCCCACAACACCCCAGGTGCTCTACCTCCACCCCCCACGGCTCCCCCTCCAGGTGCTCTACCTTTTCCCTACTACTCTTCCCTTTATGTGGGCTCGCTCCACCTCCTACTACTCCCTAGTTTGGGTGGACGGGCTCTGCCTCCACATTTTGGACTCTCGTAGAGAACATAACTGAGAGTGGACACCGAGTTGCTCCTGGAAGCTGGACAAGGGGAAGCAGGTGAGCAGTCAGGCTCATGATCTCTCCTGTGATCCTCAGGTAGCCCAGGCATTGGTGTGATGGCTGGAGCCAAGTTCTCTGCAGCAGGCGAGTAGATTCTCTGGAGAGTGTCAGGAGGACCGGGGGACTATGGTCAGCAGTAGCTCGCTGTTTGGAATGGGGCTTGTGGCATCCCCTCCTTCCTGTTTTACTTTCCTAATATGGACCTTGAACTCTGTATTTGGGGTTGAGGTCACCCATGTGCTTTATTCCTGCACCAAAATCTGTTTGCCCTCGAACTGATGGGGTTGGATTATGTTGGTCTGTTGTCACCCGTTGAGGTGTTTGCACTTCCTAAAACACAAAATGCTTTGAGTTCAGTTTTGCTCGACATAACTGTGGGCCAAAAGCAACACTCTCGGAGCTGTGGCACCCGCATTGTGCTGACGTAAGACTGCTGATTCTCAGTCAGGACCAAACAGTCCTGAGCTAATCAGTTAGTTTTGGGCAGGGATGGGCACACTTCTTCTGTAAAAGGCCCAGAAGTAACTACCTCATCTTTTGAGCCCTAGGATGTCTGTTGCAACATCTGAGGTGTGCGGTTTACAAGACAGCAGCCTAGACTTGTAAGCAAACGAGCTTGATGTATTCAGATAAAGCTGCCTGTGACATTCAAATGTGTCATGTAATGTTATTCTTGTTTTGATGCTATTGTTTCAACTAATTGAATTTTAAACACGTCCTAGCACGGAAGCTGTAGGGCAGGCGGCAGGCCCACCACCCACCCAGGGGTGTGTGTTCCTTAGGAGGCTGCACTTGGCCTTCTGTCCTGGAGGGCGACACACTGCCCTCTTCAGCCCCAGACTCGAGTGTGGCCTGAGCAGCTGGGAGATCCCCACCCCGCTCCCGGGCTGTGCTCAGCTGCCCCAAGCCTCAGAGGCTGCAGTGATGGCACATAGTCCTGTCCCCTTAAAAGGCAGACCTAGGAGAGGGGAGGGAGAGAGGTGAGGAATGACTGGTGCTGGTTTCCGTAAGTGACTTTCTCTACAGGCCCCCAAGTCTGCACACGCAGAAATTTTAGGAGAGGAAAAAACAAACATCCTTGAGACATTTTCCAATACCACACACACCAAAAACCTCGACTATATGCAGTCAGGGTGGGGGCTCTTGGTTGGGTTTGGAGTCTGATAGAATGCCCTCTAGGAGGCAGTTCTGTCGGTTGGGACGTCAGCCCTGGCACGAGACCATCAGCCTCACCTGCGAGGAGCCCCCTCCATTCTCACCTGCTGCCAGTTTAATTATTAGCTACAGGCTTGAGTAAAACTTGAAAGACACGCAAATTGTAGTCAGTTTTCACATTTGCAACTGATTTCCACATCCACATAATATTTCAGACTTTTGGCACCCATCTGGAAACTTGGAACAGCAGCAAGCCTGTCGAGGAGGTAATTTTCCCTGATTCATTTTGAAAGTGAAAACCCACAGGGCTGGAGGCAGGGGTGGTCCTGCTTCCCAGAAGGGCCGCTCAGTCTCGTCCCTAGGTTTCCTCAGCACCCGCAGGCAGGCAAGAGCAGAGGGAAGGTATCGATTTGCAGATCCCAAGAGCTCCTCCCAGCCCGGGAGAGCCACACAGGGGTCACACTCAGTATCTGGGGTGGAGGGCCATGGTGCCAGGTAAGGAGCCCTGGGCTGCAGGGACACGGAGCTAGGGGCAGGACCAGAGTGGAGACTGCTCTGTCGGCCTGGCCTGCACGTCCAGGGCTCCAGCAGGTATGGACGAGCATGTCCTCAAAACATGGTTGGTGCCCCGTCATGCACAACTGCTGTCCTGGGCAGTGGCTCCACACTGACCCTCTGGCATCCTCCCCCACCAGCTTCCCCAGGGTCCTTCAGATTCTGCTGGGAGCAGGCGGGAAGGTTAGAAAAAGAGCATCTTTCCTAGAAGGAGCAAAGGGCTTGTGTCCGTCTGGTTGCAGGGTGCAGAAACCCAGCTGGATGCGGAGGAGGGTCAGGGCCTCACAGGCTTCCCCAAAAGTGCTCAAACAGCCCAACACCACTCCCTTGGGGCCGCCCCACCCACCCACAGTGGCCTGGCCATGCAGCTGGCTCAGGAGGTTGGTGATGCTGACCCTTGTTCAGAGACACTGGGGCAGATGCCCTGGGTGGGGAGACAGCACTGGTCCCACGCTTTAAGGCAAGGAGGTGAAAATTAAGGGAAGCCTCCCTAAAGTGGACTCTGATGGTAGCCAGGGAGGCCAGAAGGGGGAGCATGAAGAGCTGTCATTACAGACCCCAAGGGAAACATGCCCAACCAGAAAGAGTCATCAGTTACAGGCCCCAGAAGGAAACGGTGTGCATTGCATGTTCTATCAGAAACTGACTACCCCTTCAAGTCCAGTTGATGAGAAACCATTAGAGTGTCCAGAACTGCAGTTCTCTATTATCCCAGAATAAACCAATTCTTGCTGATAAAATAACTATTTTATTTGAATTTCCCTGATGGCTAGTGATGTTGAACACTTTTTCCTGTGTCTGGTGGCCCTTTGTATGTCTTGGGAGAAGTGTCTGTTCATGTCTTCTGCCCATTTTTTGCCTGGATTATTTGATTTTTGGGTGTTGAGTTTGAGAAGTTCTTTATAGATCAAATCAAAACCACATTGA